AGGCACCAATGCAAGGTTACAAGACACAGAAAATATCAGGAATATATGACACCACGGAAGGAACATAATACATTTTTAGTAACAAACCCCCTAAAATGGAGATCTATGAATTGTCTCACAAAGAATTTAAAATGATCTCTTTAAAGAAATTTAGTGAGCTTCCAGAGAACACACACGCAACTCAATGAAGTCAGGAAAATAATACATGGACAGAGTTCAACAAAAAGACAGAAGTCACAAAAAAATATGTATCAGAATTCAGTTTTTGAGTAGGGTTCTCTTTCTGGCTTGAAAACAGTCCTCTTCTTGTAGTGTTCTCACAGGATCCTGCTTCTGTGTCCATGTGGAAAGAAAAAAGTGCCCTCAGGTGTCTCCTCTTCTCTTATGAAGACATCAGTCCTATCAGATTGGGGCCCCACCCCTATGACCTCATTTCACAATAACTACCTTCCTAAAGGCCCTATTTCCATACACAGTCAGATAGGAAGTTAGGGCTTTAGCATATAAATTGTAGAAGGACACAATTCATACCATAACAGTCTTCCCTCTCGCCCCACCCCCCACCCCAAATGCATGTCCTTCTCACATGAAAAAATCATTCATCTCAAAACAACATCCCCAAAACATTTTAATATAAACATTCCAGCATTAATTTGAAGTCCAAAATATCATGTAAATCAGACATGGGAGAGACTTTAGACATAATTCATCCTGAGACACAATTCCTCTCCAGCTGTAAATTTGCGAAAGTAGATGAGTCATGCACTTCCAAAAATACAATGGTGGGACAGGCATAGGCTAGGCACTCCCACTTCAAACGGAAGAAATAGGAAAGAAGAAAGTGGAGGGCATGCGGGGATGGGTCCCAAGGAGTCCCAAAGCTAGAGCAAATTCCAATAGACCCTAAGGTTAGAGAACAATCTTCGAGGCTCATTAATTTGCTCTCAGGCCCACTGGGGCAGTAGCCTCACTCCCAAGATCCTGAGGCTGTGGCCCTAACCCCTTCAGCCCTTTGCAAAAACGAAAAACAAGAAAGAGGACTGACCATCTGAAACTAAGGAGGAAACAGCCTTACTCTGGGCCTGGGGTGCTAGTGGTAGCCCTGATAATCTTTGAATTGTCTTTATGGTCATTCTTCCCCTTTCTTATATGATATATCATACTCCCTGCTGGATAACTCAGTTGTCCCAACTGTAGAGTCCTAGAAGCCTTAAAGCCTTTTTTTATTTCATGCTATTTCTGTTTCCTTCAGTTCAAACTAGCAGTGTCCTTAAACCCATCTCTATTCTGGGATTCTGCTGAGATTGTTGATAGAATAGAATCATGGGTAATTTCTTTATGGAGTGATTGTCCAGATACCCCCTTGGTATTTTCTCCAGAACATGTTTTGTGGGAGGGTTTTTTGTCAGAATGAGTAGGCTGAGAATTTCCCAAATCTTCAAGTTATGGTTCCTTTTTTGCTAAACAATTCTTTCAGTGTATCTCTCTCCTTTCCCATTTTACTATAAGCAGTGAAGAGAAATCAGGCCACACATTCAACACTTTGCTTACAAATCTCCTCTGCTAAATATCCATCACTCACAAGACTAAAGACAAAGGAATTGTACATAAGCACTGTAATTAAATTGAGGGGGGTTTGCCCATGGGGGTACACGTTAATAATTCTGAAGCCACAATTAATGGATAGTGGAACTGAACAATCAAGTAAATAAATGGCAATGGTAGGAACCAGGTTTCTCATGGTTGGAGTGGGTAGTTACAGACAAGCGATAATTCATGTGGTAATGACTTAGAGGTCTAGACAACAGTATAAATTCATGTTTAGCTTATGACAAATGGTTACATAAATGATATTTATAGATATGTGTATATACACAGGTTAGCATACATACATTTATTTTGCTCTGTCAGCTGAGAAGACCTAAAGGAAATGACACCCCAGAAGCAACAAGTATACCTAGTACCCAGATCTTGGTTCTTGGAACCATTCTCCAATAAAAAAAAGTAGGGTTCCTTGGAGAAATGACTAATTCTAGGACTGGGACAGGAAATACACAAAATGAGCCTTTGAGCAACAAAGTAAGACTGTGTTGGATTATAACCCAAAGTATAAAATAAATATCCATAAATTCATACAGATATAAACAAGTAATTGAATATATAAATAAGAAAGATTGACAAATCACCCTTGCAGAATAATTAAAAATAATTTATATAGGTACTTTACCAGATACTTCATTCTTGAGAAGGGGGAGTATTAATTCTCTACTCCTTGCATGTGTGTGACTCATAGTGTCTTCCTTCCAAAGACTGCAGTCTGAAAAGAGAGAAAAAAGAGTAACTTTACAGTGGAGAAATCTAATACACACTACCTCAGTCAGGTGACCAAGTCAACATTAATTGTGACAATTCATGTGGATATGGGTACCATAATAAGATATGATGAGACTTCCACTTAATCTCTGTTGTTTCCTGCTCAAAAAGTCTTAATTACAGTCTAATAGTAAGAAAAATGGACCAATTCCAACAGAAGAACATTTTACAAAATAGCAGACCCTCAGCACTCCCGACAGCTGTCAAGGTCATCAAAAACAAGGAAATCACTGGAACAATCATAGCCTGGGGGAGCCTAAGAAGACATGATAATGAAATGCACTATAGTATCTTAGCTGGGATTCTGGAATAGACAAAAAAAGCACTAGGTAAAAGCTAAAAAAAAATCAAAATAAAGTATGGACTTTAGTTTAAAATAATGTATCAATAATAGTAATTTAGTTATGACAATTGACCCAGACTAATGTAAGATGTCATTAATAGAGGAAAATGAGAATGGGGATATGGGAACTCTACACTATGTTTGCAAATTTTTGTAAATCTAAACTTTACAAGTTTTGTAAACTGTAAAATTAAAAAGTTAATTTAAAAAAAAACTATCACTTAGATCCTTTTTCTCAAAATGAAAATATGTCTATGACAGACAATTAAGCTTAAAACACAGATTTTAAAAATATTGTCATAAACATTAGTGACAACAATAATTAATATTTTCCATCAAAATTCTTTAGAGATACTTATGAATGACTAGAAATTCCTAAAAATACATTCAACAGAGGTTTCCATTTTACTGCAGTCTTGCCACATACAGTAAACTCAAACCTCTGTAACATTTTACTCTAGGTTAACATACTTAATTCATGTATGCATTTATTTTTAACTCCCTTCCTCTCTGTAAAAAAAATCAATAAAATATATTTAAAAAATAAATAAATAAAAATGTATGCTCTAAACTCATAAAGTTGTGGCATAATAATTCACTTCTTTTCATTATAAATGAAAAAAAAAAACCAAAATCATCGTGGTTTGAATTGTTGCCCTCCCCCCTTTGTAACAGGAGTTAGGTCTGTCTTATTAACATACACCTGTACACACATCTGTGCACCACTTATAAACTGGTACCTTGAATGTTAACCACATGAGTATTAACAAATCCATAATGAGTAAGGAATCAATAATTTCATCAGGCCAAAATCCAGCATCCCCCTCAAATGCTAAATGTTTGAAATATGCAGATAAACCTCTCAAAAAGGCATAAAGCACTAAGTCATTTATATAGCTATGTGGTCACTTAAACTTTGGGGGGACAGGGTAAGTGGACAAATGAATAAATTAAGCATAAACATTTTTAATACTCAAAATCACTGATCACTGAACAACTTGAAGACATAAAAATGTATCTTACTCAAACTTTTACTTTTAGAATTTCTAATTTCTCAGTAATTTGATGAAAACATTTGTGTTATTTGGTGATACATCTACATATATTTTATCAAATAGCAAAAGATAATATGAATAGGAATATAAAATGGAAGAGACATTCATTTTAGTTTGTGGTTAGCAAGAAACTAAGCAAAGATCATGCAGAATAAAAGTAAGAAACAATAGAAGACATGTATATAGTATATCAAATAGAATGTGACTTACTCAATTGAGTAATAATTTAGACATGATATAAAGATAAATGCAATTATCAATTACCAGTCCATACATTCAGATGATAATAAATGGGTTTAATTATACTTATGAGGGGCTTTTCCAATAATGCTTACATATGATTAATTGGCTTACTCATTTGGGAAGGGGAAGAAAATAATTCAAAAGTGAGCTAATCTTTTCTCCATAGAATCAAAGATCACAATTATGGGGAAAAAAACCACACAGTTTTATGGGGAAATTAGCATAACTCTCTCAGGCTTTGTCTATCCACATCCAGCTATTTTAGGAATTGTTGAAGTAGTCAACAATTCAAACAGGAAGCTTCCATTGCACTCAAGCAGTTGTTGGAATTTGACACTTTTTATTTTGTTTATTTGCATAATTGTAAACTAGTAGTATATAAAATCATGAAAGCTAAAGATCTCAATTATAATAAAGTTACTTGGCATTATATTAGGCAATTTCTAGAGTCTTAATTACCCCTTTTCTCACACCTTAATTTTCCAGGTGCTGCTCTATGTTCTTCAGCCAATAGATGGGCCATAGTTAGAAGACTTAGTTCCATTGGGGAGTGGGATCTTGGTTAATTTTTGTTGTCCTTAAGCCACTTTAAACTACCCAGGGTTTGTAATGTGCCTCATTTTTACTAAACCACAGTCTTTCTGTTGAACCCACTAAGCTCTCTTCACAGCCCACAATTGTACTTCTATTGTGGCTTTCTGTTGTGACTTCTGGTCTCCACCACTGGGACTGGATTGTTATCTCTGTCATATAAATACATTAGAAAACTTCACCCTGCACATAAGACATGCTTCCTTGCACTTGTACCACACATAATAACCTTTAAGAATTTGGTTATGTAGTAGTCAGAATTCCTGCTATGACCAGTAAAGAAGAAAATGAGACTATTAACTTTCTTTTTATCTCAATACCATCCTAAGACTGGGTTACATGGTTCACAAGGATACAAGTATTGTAATTATTTGTCATTAAAGCTTTATTTTCATGCTCACTTTGGTAGCACATACTAAAATAGAAACAGTACAGAGAAGATTAGCATGGCCCCTGTGCAAGGATGACATGCAAATTTGTGACACGTTCCATATTTTCTTTGCTTTTAATATAGTTTTAATTGATTTTAGAGAGAGAGGAAGGGAAAGAGATAGAGATAGAAACATCGATGAGAGAGCTAGCCCGAAACCTGGGTATGTGCTCTGACCAGGAATTGAACTGGTGACCTCTTGGTTCATGGGTCAGTGCTTAACCACTGAACTGTCCTGGCGTGTTCCATATTTTGTGCGATATCCCAGTAGGCATCCTCATACTGTACACACACACACACACACACACACACACACTCTCACAAAACCACTTAATTTTCCAAAAGAAATGATCCTTATTTGATTCTTTAGCAGTGCTACCTTAGTTTACATGACAGACAGTACATGGTAAAGACATTGGCTATGCACCAAAAATTTGTGTTCTGTTCATAATACAGAGCAGTTTCTGGGATGCAGATGCTCAAATCGGGATTATAATCTCCAGCTAACCTTGGATTCAGATGTGTCCCTGTGGCATCCTATACCCAAGACCTGCCCTAAAACTCACCATCTCTAGTATCCTGTGGGAACCAGGCTAGGTTCTCAACAGAAGAGTGAAGAGGTACTTAAGCTGGGCTCTTACCAATAGATCAGCTTACAGTGAAAATAGGCCACAATAAACAAAAATCTATTGTAGGCAATCATTCAAGATATTCCCTTATATTTGATTACTAACTCATTATCTTAAATAATTTTTTCATAGAATCAGCTCCTGGCTCCATAGCATCCTAACACTCACTGCTGATTCTTGTCAGAGCAACTAGTAGTTGCTATCTAGCTACTCCTACTGATTTCTTTGGTATGCCTGAATGGGATGGTATTCTTCTTTTAGGACTCTATGAGGTATTTTCCTGTGCTGAATCCCCTAAAAGAATCAAACCAATCTCCATATATTTTTCAAAGAACAGAGTAACGGGTGGAGGGGCTGTGAATTCAAACGCCTTGCTACAAGGAAATAATACTTAGCATGTATGGGCACTATTCCCAGAGAAAAAGATCAGCATAATTTTAGCTGGTTAACAAAGGAAATTCAGACTTTTGAAAAAAATAGAAATTAGCATTAGAAAGCCACAACCTTTCCTAGATTGGAGAAACAAAGAGAAAAGTGGTATTCTAGGATCTCAAAAGTTAAGGTCAAATGACAGTAGTGGGAATCAGGGCAGGCCTGCCCAGAGGGAGCTAGAAACAATGAGGTGACACAGCTACAGACAGAGAAGCTCTTCAAAGCAGAGAGGAAAGAAAAAAAAATAGTCTGGTTGCTTCCTCCCTGCCTCCAATCACCCACCAGTACCTCCCACCAGCCGAAGGTCCTAGCAGAGATAAGATGAATAATGAAGCTGGGTGCAGAGGGGCGCCAATTAACATTGTTGCAAACAACCCAATTTGTGGATGGCTCTCACTGCATGGCGGCTAAAGAAGCTGTGTCTCTTCTTGGGTCACATCTCTAAGCGGCAGTCATTGATCAGATCTCATCCCATGCTTTAAGCTTTTCCCCTGAGGCTTACCTGTGGTCACGTTCCTGAATTTTGAAACCCACGGACAAATCTTCCATGTAACTATGGTTCGGTGATGAACAATTTACTAGTTCATCTACCCCTAACTACTCACACCCATTATATAAGAGAAACTAGAGACATGATAACCCATTTTCTTTATGAGGTGCTATCACGTGTGCCCTTTCATTTGTTTCTTTTGTGCTAGCAGGGAGGTCACCTAGAGTTTCCCTTGAAGTCTTTCTTCTTAATAACCTGAAGTCATTTTACAACGTACTAGACTGCAGCTCTCTTCAAGCCAACAAAATAATAAAATAAGTCTTCTTATATGAAGGACTGGTACCTGTACCAGAAAGGTATCAACACTTTGAGTTTGCACATCACAAATTACGGGGTAAGCAGATATATAGCAAAGTAATTAAGGAGTAGCCTTCAAAGTATCTAAAAATTATGTTGTTTTATCACAAAAAAAATTATGAGGGGAAAAACTTATTATATTTTTTCTAAAAATAAAGAATGGTAAAAAACAGTACTTGTGTATCGGCACTTATGAAAACATTCTTTAAAATTTTTCAGAAGATACCATACCTCATCTAAGACTAGCTATGTGAAACTTAAATCATATCTATCCTGCCAAAACATTGCAGTAATTTAGCTAAAAGAGGATTTTTATCATGTAGAAAAAAAAAATAAGAATTTGGCTGAATTCCATTTAAAGCAGAGGTTCTCAACCTGTGGGTCGCGACCCCTTTGGGGGTTGAACGACCCTTTCACAGGGGTCGCCTAAGACCATCGGAAAACACATATATAATTACATATTGTTTTTGTGATTAATCACTATGCTTTAATTATGTTCAATTTGTAATAATGAAAATACATCCTGCATATCAGATATTTATATTAGGATTCATAACAGTAGCAACATTACAGTTATGAAGTAGCAACGAAAATAATATTATGGTTGGGGGTCACCACAACATGAGGAACTGTATTAAAGGGTCGCGGCATTAGGAAGATTGAGAACCACTGATTTAAAGTGATGTTCCAATAATTCCATCAATTTTAACAGGTGAGGACACAATTGGATTAGACCCTATTTGATAGAGCTCTTAGGCAACTGGTAGAAAGGGAAACCACTGCTCTTTAGAACCCTTCCTCAATGCCAGAAAATCCAATGCCAGATAGGGTTGCAACAAATAGGAGGTCACAATTTTAAAAAGAAAATCACAGAACACATAAGGAAATAAGCCACCATGTTTATGAATCAGAAAAAAACACACACTACAAACCTAAAACCACAAGGATATCTAATATTGCTGTTTTGATCGTGAATACAATTAAGTGTGTTAACTATGTGAGAAGAAATAAAGAAGAAAGCTGAAACCATTGGAAGGAATATAATTTGATACATCTTAACCTAGGTGCTTTGACATTATTTGTAGAAAGCTTAGAATATTTCTACCTATACTGTAGAAAACACAAAAGGCTCAGAACTAAGAATAGCAACTAATAAAATCACAGAGAAACAGAGTTGGAAAATAATGAGAAATTACGAAACAGGAATTGTGGTAGAAGGTCCAATCAACTTCTAACTGGAGTTTCAGAAGAAAATATTTGACACAATGTAAAAGCTGGAAGAAATAATGCTTAAAAATCTCCAGAATTGTTATAAAACAAAGATCATCAGATTGAGGAAGCATAAAATCCTAAGCAGGATAAATTTTTTAAAAACATATCTAGATCCATTAAAACCACACAGAATGCCAAAAGTAAAGATAAAATCTTAAAACAATTCAGAGAACAAAAATTACATGAGCTACTGGGAAATAGAAATTAGGTTAAAACTGATTCTCCAACAGCAGCAGAAAATAAATCCATGTACCAGTAGTTATAATAAACATAAGTGCAGTGACTCAAGACTGGATATAAATTAAAAAAGTAAGCAAACACAAATAAGTCAATGCAGCTCTGTCTCATTTATGAGAAACACCTACAACATAAGAACACAAGGATTTTTTTTATACGGATATATCTACCCAATAAAGTTGATATAACTATACTACTATACTAGAGGCCCAGGGCATGGGATTCATACACTGGTGGGGGAGGAGGGGCGGCGTGGCATGCAGGGATCACCTGCTGTGGGAGAGCCGCTCATCCTGTGGCTGTGGACCCACCCTCTGAGTGGCTGCTCCCTGATCTGGCATTTTCCATGGAGCCGCAGCACTCGCCTCTCCAGGGGACCCGGTTGTGGCCGGGCTCAGGGACAATAGCCCGAGAAGCGGCGGAGTAGGCCTCAGGCAGGTGGCAGCCACGAACCTGCCTCCCAGCCTCCAGGGTCAGTTCTGAGAGCTCTGTGGCAGCACTGCACGGCCTGTGGGCATCCGGAGGAGGCAACAGGGAGCAAGGAGGAGGAGGACGAGCCTGGGGTAAGGAGGCTACGATCTGCAGCCAGAGTTCCTGCCCGTAGAGTGGGAGCAGCCCCTCACCCTGATCAGCCGAGCAGCACTCCACCGGTGGTAGCGAACTGACCACCAAGGAGCAGCTCCTACATTGAGCATCTGCCCCCTGGTGGTCAGTGCGCATCATAGCGACTGGTCGACCAGTCATTCTGGTCGTTCCACTGTTCAGTTGCTGGGCTTTTATTATATAGGATTAGTCAGAGTTCTTCATAGAAGCAAAACTAACAATATATGGAAAGATAGATATAAAAGATGTAGTATAGAAGGCCATGAAATCCACAACCTGCCATCTGTGAGCTGGAGAACCAGGAAAAACAGTGATATAATTCAGGAGCTCTGAGGAACAGGAGATGGACATCCTGGCTCAAGAAGAAAGAGTAAGAATTGGCCCTTCCTCTGACCTTTTGTTCCCTCTAGCCCCCAGTGGATCAGATGATACCCACCTCCCTTGATGAGGGTGGATGTTAATCTCTTCCAGAAACACGCTCACAGACACAGCCAAAAATAATGCTTTACCAGCGATCTGGACTCCCTTAACCCAGTCAAGTTGACACATAAAACTCACCATCAAAATTATTATTTAAAAACTGACAACGAGAAAATAGACTTTAAGATTGAAAGTGATGCCAGAGCTTGCAAGTCATTGTAATAGAAATTTCAGTTTGTCAGACAAAAATAACCATTTAAAATCATCATACACTTAATAATCTAGCTTCAAACATTTAAAAATCAACCAACTGTTGTCATATTGGTACACTGTAGATTCCCTCACTCTTTGTGTGTATGGACATATATGGAACCCTCTACACAACAAATATGGAGTCCCACATTATCTTCAAACTTATTTTTGGAGCATGTACAGAAACCAAGCAGATATGAAAACAACAACAACAGGAAAGACTTAAATTTTTTTTCAAATAATGTAGCTAATATAAAATATGTGGCGTTTCTTATAATTTGTGTCTTATATATTACATAACTCTTGTGAGATAGTGGTGGAAGTATAATCTTGTATAAATACTTTGAAAATAATTTGGCATTATCTGCTAAATTTG